AAGGTAGTATGTGGTTCTTGCTCATTTTCCCTGGCCACTGGAAGGGAGGAGGTGACCCAGTGGACATGTGAGCTGCCAACAGTCTTCAGCTGTTTTATCCTCCCAAGTTCTCCCATCAGTGTAAATGCAGCCAGCAGGTGTTCAGATGTGTCCCATCGTCACTGCATCTCTGAAGGGATGCATTTGTCCCAGACAAAGTGAAGAAGCTTGGCCCGCAGGGATGTATTTTTTTTCTGGGAGCCAGCAGCACCCACATTACTGGCTTTGTCTGTTGTAGGTTTGTAGTCTTTGTAGAAGCAGGGGAGAAAATACACCCCCACTTTCTCAGAAATGAGGTGTATTTAAAATGCAGCTTTTTCCTCCTGATTTTGTAGCTGTGCTAGAAAGTCATTACACATGGATTTATTTTTCCTTATCTCTTGGATTATCATTGGCTTCCTTCCTTCCTGGATGAGTTTATCCAGTGTTCTGATTGCAGCTCCTTTTTTTTTTATCACCTCCTGTCTATATGGCTTTAAGATTTTGTATGTTTAACATAATTGAATTGAGTATTTTGCAGCAATTGACAGTGAAGATAATTTTCCACTGATTGATGGGGTAGTTATGGTGAATATTTTTGCAGTTTACTTGCTTTGGCTGTTGGCTGTTTTGGTTGCAGACCTGCTGTATTTTATTTGTCCTTGTAATTTGTTTTTTTTTTTTTGCCCTTGTATTTTATTTCAGTTTTGCAACTGAGCCACATATTAATCTGACTTCGGAGAGGGGAAATGAAGACCACATTTTAGCTTTTAAGAAACTTCCACAGAGATTCAGACAGCTGGTCAAAGATAAATCAAGTATGCAAACAGGGTCATGAATATCTTAATTAAAAGGTAACTAAGAAACAGGCCCCGATTCTCTAGGGTCTTTTGATACAAAAGCCCAAGGTCAGCATCCACAGAGTGTGCCATTTAAAACACCAGGGCATCAAATATCTCTTTAGTTTCTTTCTTTGGACTGGACTTGGAATTTGATGGTAAGGTAGTTGTTATTTCTGGGCTCATGCACCGGGAACAACAGCAAGGAAACAGACAAAAACTATTTTAGATAGGTTTTTAAGGGAACATGATATTACATGGTTTTTAAACAAAAAATGGTCTGTGACCTTCATTGGGACCATCATTGTCCTACAGGGGCTGATCATTAGAATTAGGAGGTCATCATCTTTCCAGTGCTGAACTACTTTTTTCTGTGTGCATGAGGCTGGGGGGAGAGAGGTGTGAGTTTGGTATACCTGGAATGTGGTGATTAAACTAGGAGAAATTTTTTAAGGCTTTCCGGGAACTAGGAAAAAATTTTTATTGAAACATCTTTAATTTGGTTATTAAGAGCAATTGTATTTTAGTGTGCTAGCTGGCTGACACTACACAAGTTTTAAAGCATTTTATATTGAAATTGCATCTGTTAAACGACTGCCCAAAGCCTGAATCCTGCATGAGTCACACTGTGCTATTTTGAATTGTTCTGCACATGCTCTTCTTCAACAACAGGAGGATTTTCCCCTAGTTATTATTGAAATAGGACATTTTTTGATATAAAATAGGTGTTAACATAGCTTTACATCAGAATGATGTTGATATGTAATATAAAATAGTTTGGGGTTATTTCAGTGCAAGTGTCTGCATATACCAGCTGCTATAGCATGCTAATCAATTTTTGAAAAGTAACCCTTTTAGAAGTTGTATAGACAAACCCTGGGTGCTTGCCTGAAGAAAGAAAGATGATTAATTTAAATATTAAACACCAGTCGAGATGATTAATTCTTAATGAAGTCAATGAAAAAATTATTTTCCTTGTGTTCCCTGGAAGACCCTTTCAAAAGCTTTGCTTTCCAAAGCTTTCCGAACTTTTATTTTTCCTTTGTGTGTGGCACAGGATGTGACTTGGTTCACAGCAGGTAGCTTCATTAGTTGGCATTTCTGGTATAATATCCAGCTGTGGAAAGCTTATAAAATATTGGTATTTAGGTCATCTTAATTAGGCCTTGAAGTAAAGATTTAAGATAAACTGGAATAATTGCACATACTTCATTGCAGCTGAGCTTCTTCAGTGAAAAGAGGGAGTGATTCCCAGACAGTATGAACTGATTTCAACAGAGTTGCTGCAAATCCTCCTCTTTGGTGGTGCTTTGACAGTACAGGGAGCTGAACTGATTAAAACTAATAATTCTGGGGTGAGTTGAAAGATGTGGCAGTTTTCAGCTGTGTTGGGTGCTGGGCTGGATATCCTTGGTCTCACTGCTGCCTATGCCAGTCCAGGGAGGGGATTTGGCTGGTCAGTCCCCATTTATATCACTGCAGGCTTCTGTGTGACCCATCCTTCTTCGCTGATTTGGGGGGGACTATCTGCTTGCTTCCTTCCTTCCTTCCTGGATAAATTTATTCCAAGTTATGCTTGTGTTATGCACTAGTTGAGAGGGAGCTCAGGTATCAGTGCTCCTCTCCCAAGCTTGGGTGAACAAAGAACTTCCCCCCCTCCTTTGTGCAGATTCACTTGCCATGTTAGATACCCAAAATACTGCAAAATCACCACAGTGAATATCACTGTGACATCTTTTGTACCAAGACGGGTGGTAGTGGTTTCCATCTGGGCTGTGTTGCATTTGAGGTCAGCAAGCAAAAATCAGGAGGCAGCATCCCCGGTACTGGATTTGAGAAGTTAAGACCAGAGAGGGAAGCCGGACGAATCTTAACAGGCAACTGGACGACCAGTTGATGAAATAGAGTTGTGTGTGTTTCTGCCAACCAGCACATCTGCCTTAATAACAGATGCAAATGTAGGATCTTCAGGTGCATGTCTGCCAAGTCATTGGCAATGAAATCGAGGATGGGGCATAACTTTGGGCGAGAAGAGGCTTGGAAGAGGGTTATAGTGGCATCTGGAATATGCATCTGGTGTTGTATAAGCGCCTGGCATCTCAGAGGCATCTAGAGAAAATACAGCGTGACTAATTTGATACATTTAATAAGAAGAAAGTGGCAAGGTTGTACTGTTGTTTATCTCTCTTTGACTAACAACATGCCAAGTATGCTTTTGGCATTGTAACACCACAAGATGGGAGAGTGCCATTATTTAAGTGTGTTATTAAGCTAATGACGTATAAAGAGGTATTAAAAAGCCAACAGCTATCATCTGCTGCATCAGTAGTGCTGGTAGCTGAAAATTCCAACTTTTGCTTATGGATCAGTGAAACTGAAAATGGAACAGGAGCTACTCCTGCTCTAAATTTCTCCCTATAAGAGCATTCCTGTGTCCTCTCTGACTGTGGATGGAGCCAAGGGAGTGCCCATAGGTGCAGAAGGCAAATGTTTGGTCTCTTCTTGCTTGTCTAAGAAACGCAGATTTTATTTTTTCTTAGCATTTTGAAGGTGTATCCTATCTTGCACCAGATCTCCTAAAATCCTAGTTTAGACAAAGCCTGAGGGGATTTAGGTTTGCATATTTTCCTAAGAGGATTAAGCTTCACACTTGGTTGATCTATAAATTGTTTGAGATTTTTTTTTTTATGATTTTCTATGTACACAAGAAGCCACATACGCATTCAAATTGTCCTGAAATCTGTTGTCTGGGGCTTACTGATAGAAATCTAGTGTTTGAATTAATAGCAAACTGAATCAATGGCTGAACCTCAGGGTTATTTTGAACTGAAAAACATTTTGGTAATCAGATTTGCAGCACGGCTGCAGGAACAGTTGTAGCAGCACAACTGAAGGGGCAAGGGAATTGCAAGAAGGATTAGAAACTGCTTACACTGGCATCAGAGAAAACAATTTATTGTGAAAATACAGCCCAGGAATAAATTAATGAGCATGCTTCCAAGCATAGGAGAGCTCATAACGCTCTGGAAACTCTTTGCTTGCAGATCAAGGGAGTAAGGCAGCTCAGTGGGAATTGGGAAAAAAATAATGGTAGTCTATGAATATTTTTATCATTTAAGTTCATACTCATTAAATCACTGGAGAGGTGCTCCATGCCTCAGCAGTGGCCCCTGGGAGTGATGGGTGCTGGCAGTCCTCCTCCAGCCGGGTGCTGGGGCACACTGCCCTGGCACTGCTGGCTGTTGCAGCTGTTTAATGCCCATTGACGTTTTCATGATTGCCAGCTTAATTTTTCATTATGTGTCTGCAGGTGGGCTATACCTTACATATTCATTTTTGGTATTTACAGTGTTTTTTGGAGGGCTGGGTGCAGTTCCTTGTTTTGTGCTGTTGTCAGGGTGTTTAGAGGTTGTGGAGCAGCAATTGCTACTAAACCAGGCCTGTACTGGGGCTTCTTCCCTGCCTGCTAGAACAGTTGGAAAACTTGCAATGCTAGGATTTCCATACTTCAATTCACTGAAGGTAGAGGAAGGATCTGACTCAGCCATAGGAAAATGGTTTAAAACAGAACTAAACTCACCTGTGCTGCTCACAAGGATGGTCAGAGCTTTCTTCTAAACTGCTGGTTTGTGCTCAGTGCTGCCAGCACTGTCATCTTCCATCTTTCTTCAGGCACTCCTCACAGGAGTGATGAGATTAACATCACTGAGAAACAAGTGGCATTTATTTGGTAAAATGGGCAAGGGGCAAAGAGAAGTGGGGCAGTGCGAATGACAGGCAGTCTCCGTAGATCTACATCTGCATTATTTTATCAAAGCACTGTATTTGTAGCATTGCAAGCTGTACCACAACACATGTGGGAATGGTGTTAGGTGGGTATTAAACCCTTGAAGGAAGGGATAAGGAGCTGAGCAGGAGCTGTTGTGAAGTTTCAACTTCTGTTTTGCTGTAGAAACTTGTATGGAGTAAGTTTGCTTCTGGTTGGAATCAAACAGAATGGAACAAAATTTATTAATATCCAGAGGTATGGCTTGGCTAGTGAAGGGTGGTTTTTGATCTTTACTAAATCTCTCTGAGACTCTCTGGGGACTTTCTCATGCCCTCTAATCAGTGGTGATGTTTTGTGTTCTGTTTTCTCTGCAGACGCCGGCTGATCTCCCAGCGATCTTCTCTGGAGACTCTGGAGGACATCGAGGAAAATGCCCCATTGCGGAGGTCATTTTATTTACTCTCTCTCTGGCTTCTTATCTGTAAAGCACATGCATGGACAAACTTGCTGTTCCCTCTCCATGTTGAAAAGTAGCTTGGTCTTCACATTAAGATGTTCTTCGTAGTGAGTAAAAGTGTTGAAACCTCTAATGCCCTGCAAGGTTGTAGGTGATATGAATTACACATTCCCTGGCTTTAGGTCATTAAACAAAATGTCACTATTTAAGTGAAATGTCAGGAATTAAAATGTCAGATTTGATTAATAGAAAAGTATAATTGTCACTAATATGAATGGCTAGCCCCTAATATATGTGGTACATTTAAAAAAGTAAGTACAGATGGCTTACTGTAGGGAGTTTTTGAAGGCTGGTATTTTTAGTATTTTTATTTTTTATGGATTTTTACTGTGTGTTCTCTCGGCACATGCAATCTTATTTTGGTTACCAGCATTACTGTCTGCATGTTGGCTGGTAGGTTTGTGACTGCTACCCCACTAATAAATCTGCCCTCATCCTTATTATATCAGCAGCTTCAGTGCGGTTTTGTTTCTGCATCTGGGAGACCACAGCTTACTTCTCTGGGGACCGCAGTAATTAGTCACTAGGCAATCCTCTAGGGTAATGCAAAATGGAGCAACTGCTTAACAGTTCAGAAACTGGCTGGTCAGTAATCCGACCAGTGCATGGAATCCTTCCAGGTCAGCTGTTCGGCAAGACGGCAGCCTAAGTTTGACTGACTCTTTATCTTAGGACCTGTAATTCAGCTGGTTTAAATTGGTGTTTAGCCTATAGCCTTGTTTATCCACATGCAGATTGGCTGTCTCTCCCTACCTCGAAGCAAAGACTTAATAGCAGAGGCTGTACCAATTGGCCTACTACCAAGGCTTGATTATTTTTACAAAGCTTACTGTTGCATGCTTACCAGCATGTTATGAAGCATTCTCGTAAGTGATTCAAACATGTATAATTGGCAAAAGATATAAACAAAGTATGGTTTGCCAGGCAGTATTTTTACTTGCTAATTTGCAGAATTGGTGGTAGAATGTCTCTCTTGCTGGTATTTTCCTGTGAAGAAGCTAACAAGACTAATTGCAACCAGAGGGTGAGGGAATCTCAAGGATTTTACTAACAGGAGGAAGGCAGAAAAGGCAAAGTGATGGGGTCCTCCCTCTCGGGGTGTGCCTGGGCAGTGTGGTGGTGTTTTGGTACAGCAACAAGGACTGGCACTCCCTGGTGGCTTGGGACCAGTGGTCTGTGGTTTCAGTCCAACAAAAGGACTTTTCCGGCTTGAGAAGCTGCTGAACTCTGCCTGTGCAGAGGAGAGGGTGGAAAAATAGTTTAGGGAAGCTTAATGCAGAGGGGCTGTACTCATCCTGTGTGCCGGCAGAGGATGCTTGTCCCTTAACTCCCACGGAGGACGCAGCAGCCTCGGTCCAGCAGCCCTGGCTGTGCAGGGAGCACAGGAGTTGCGTTATCTGCAGTGCCTGCCCGTCGTGCCATGCCTTGCAACAAAACAACACTGAGATGAAACAGTGAAAGCTTTCACATGCGCTGTGGTTTCAGCTGATTAGAAAGAGGCAAGGGGGGGAGGGAGGGGAGGATATTGCTGTTTGTCTCATCTCTCCTCCCTCTGGCAATTTCTTTCTGTAACTGCAATTTATAAAGTGCATTCAGATGTAAAATAGATTTAAGGCTTAATGTTTTCAAGATAGATTATTTTTTTCCTGAGATAATTTATTTTCAGTTGTTTTGCATACTATCAGGGATATGAAAAGTAATATTTAAAAGCAAATAGGAGTTATCCTTGACAATGGGAGATTTTAAACCTTTCTAAAATTAAAACAAGAAAGAACTTTCCTTAATGACTCCTTTATCAATAGCTGAGGAGGTTACAAAAGCGTGGGTGTTGATGCGAGTGGAAAAATTGCATATTTACCAGTTTTGGCTTAGTTTAATTTTTTCCCTCTGAAAGCTTGGGCTAAGCTGTCACGGCAGATTACAGGAAGTTTTACTTTGCTGAGGTTTTTTTATGATTTTTTTCTTTTTTTTTTTGCATGAAGGGAGGGGAATGGTGCCTTTTCTTATTATTATTTTAAATATTTTTTTGTTTGAGCTGTCTAGTTTCCAGACTTATTGTCTTTATTGTTCTTGCTGATTCCTAACACAGGGTGACTTGAATCATTTGTCTCGTCTTTCCTTCCTGCTTTTGTGTAGACTTCTTGGCTGTACAGCAGGGAACTGAGTACTTCTGTTTTTTTCTTTCTCCCCCCCCGCAACTGATTTATTTTTCAGATGTCGGACACTCTCAGGATCACCCAGACCAAAGAACTTTAAGAAGGTTCATTTTATCAAGAACATGCGGCAACACGATACCAGAAACGGCAGGTACTGTGCATGCAAAGGCTGCTTCTGCAAGGCAATCCATGGGGCATGAGGGAAGGGGCAGGATCAGCATCCCTGTGCAAGAGCACAGCGTGCCATTGCCACGCACCACGTACTGATGGCCTCTAACACAGTCTGTGAAGGTGCAAGCTGCAGTGCACACTCCTTCCTCGATGGAAGTACATGTCAATGGAAGTGCTATACCCCTTAGATCTTAAGACCTGTGTCTCCTTAATGCAAATAACCTGCATAAAAGGAAAATCTGTGGTGCTGTTGGAGTAAACTAGGCATAATCTGGTTGCATTTCTTTGAGAGTGTTGCTACGTTCTAAGTGTGAGGGGGGTACACAGATGGGCAAACCTACCTGAACCGGGTTTAGCAGTGGTTCAGTGCTACTTCATCTGCATCTGTTAATGGATACAAAGTGCCGGTTGGTAAATGCACAGCCAGGGATGATCATGGCAAGGTGAGGCGTGGGATCCTGGTTTTCATGGCAGATGTAGGCAGAGAGTCTTCCAGGGGATGTGTGAGGGGTGCAGCTGTGACTGCAGCACACCCCGAGCTGGGACATGGACTTCCCAGGTTACAGCCACAGGCACCTGTGGGACCTGTACAGCAGGATTTGGCTGGGACTTCACTTACTGCAAAGGCCTGGTGTTCCCATCAGCAAAATGGATTCTTTATTGCAGTATCATCCAGCTCAGAAGTAAAACTAGTTCCTCCCTGCTTGTAAAGAAACTACCTGCCCTCTCTGATTTTTCCAAAGACAGTTTCTCCATGTGCCACGTGATTTTTTTTTCTTCATGTTCTTCCAAACCTGAATAGGTTTGAGCTGGGCTACCTGAAGAGGTTGCATGTAGACTAAACTGGCCCACGGAGAGTTGACCCTTGCACATACCAGTTCTCATAAAACTGCCATGGCTGAGAATCATGTATGTTCTGGTGGACTGATTTTGTGCACGTAGCCTTTTACTTCCATCAAATATGGCACCATGTCAGTAGAAACTGACACTGCACTGAACCACAGGTTTTATGAATTGAATTCTGGTAGGTGTTACTTGGCTCAAGAAAAATTTTCTTCACTTTTATTCTCACACTTACAGATAAATGCAGTACAAGGCAGTAATCAACATAAGTGTTGCAGAAGGTGACCCTGAGAGATTTTAGAAACAGCTTTTGTATCAGACACACACAGAACTATTGACTTGACTATTGTCTGACTAGCAGCTGATTGTTGTCTTTACAACAAACACGTGTGGAATTAAACGCTGAAAAGCAGACCTCTAATTTTATTCCGCTTTGTGCATAAGTAGATGTATGCTCTTGGAATTTCTTACAGCAAAAAATACCTATAAGGTATTATACAAATTGCACAGAGAACAAGTAATTTCTGAGCTGTGTGTATAAAATCTGTGCATAAACTTGATAGAAACACTATCTGCAAAAGAATGAATAAATATTTGATTGGTAAACTGTTTTCTCCGTGTTTTGTAAAAAAAGTATTTGTAGCATATATGCAAAATTTTATCTTAATTCACAGATCAGTCATTATGCCTGACAATAAAACTGAGTAATTTTCTTGTTAAGAAAACAGTGAGGAAACTTCTGTTATTCAACTGACTTCTTATCTTTATCAGCAGACACAGTTTTCCAGAATATTTCCACAATTGTAATAAAGATCTCCTTATGTAGAATGCAGATACAGGTACAAGAGACAGTTTTGGAAATAGCTTTCATCCTATGGTTGTAGAACCACAACGATATTAGCTAAAAATATAATATAAAGTTAACACTTTGTGTCACTTCTGTGTCTAGCAGTAAGTAAGATGAGCCCAGACTCTGTTTTTCTAAGGGGTCTGGATGCAGTTGCAGTCGCTGAAGTTAATAGGCATTCTGGATGAAAAGGACCTCTAGAAATTCAGGTGGATCTGCTTTATGTGTTCATCGTAAAATCAACAGTGTTTCTGAGTACCTTAAGACCTTTAAAGCTGTGTCCTCCCCAGTTTCCTGTGACACCAAGAAGCCCAAGTATTGCAGTGGATAGAAAACCCTCCTGAAGCTCCTTTCCATGCCTGAAACCTTGTCCCAGGGGGCTCATGCATGGTTGTGCAGGACACAGGCACTGAGCTAGGCTGAAGTCAGGCTCTCTGACTGACCCTTCTGCCATAGCATGTCAGCCTTTCACTTAACTTGAGGAACCCAGCTTTGAAAACATCTACACTGAATATATTTTTGGGCAGTGAATTTGGTGACTGGGCTTTAAAATAGCTAGCATGTAATTGTTTCACTGGCTTGTGACTGTGAGTGTCACAGCAAAGAAAACTGCAGTGTGGGTGATAGCTCAGGGCTCCTCTCTCTGTTAATTGGCCTTACTTGTGGCTCTCAACCTGTAAAGTGATGTGTCCTTTTCCTGCGGCACTGAGAGCTCTTCCTCTCTCAGCCTTGTGGGTGACACATGTGGAGTGACGATGCTCTGGGTCCAGCCTTTGTCAGTCCAGCAGCAAGGCAGGATTAGCTGTGGTTGAAATAAGAGTTCAGCTGTTTAGCACGGAGAAAAAACACCTATACTCAGACCAGAGCTTATCAGCTAGTCCCTGTAAAGCTTCCTGTTGATAGCTCTGTGCACTGGTTAAACCGGTTTCTTTGGATTTGTAGTACGTGGCTTATTAAAGGAGGTAGAAAATTAGGTTTCCTAGACTGTATTATCAAAGCAATCGTGTAAAATAGCACAAAATAAACTTTCCCATGCAAAGACAAAGACAAGTCAACCATAACATACAAACTAGCACAGGTAGTCACCAGCATGTGGTTTTACCCACTTTGCTCAGCAGGTTTATTGGCGATATCCTCCATAAGCCCTGAAACAGAAGATTAGCAAAAACAGCAACCTGAGCCAGCTGAACAAACAGTTAATGGTGAAAATGGGACAAGAACATTTCTACAGTTATCATATAAAGCAAATATAAAAAGCAGTAAAACAATGTTTCTCTCCCACCCCCATGCCATTACTTTCTCAGTTATTTTGTTAGTGTACACATCTAAATAAAGGCCAAGCACCATCATGAAAGATCTCTTTTGTTGACCTTTTAGTTGTGGAAATGCAACACATGCAGTCCAAGAGGCTGACTATTTGCAGCATCCTCACAGTTCATAATTCCCCTCAGCCACCTTCTAATAGCCCTTGAATTTGTGAGACTCCAAAATGAGAGCTGCTACCTAGCCAGCATCTGTGATTTGTGTGTTTGCCTTTGCATGCTGGGCAGCAGGGCCCTGGCTGTCAAATATCAACCAACCAGGAATGAGACAAGAGGCTATAGTATTCCACATGTGTTTGGTGTATATGGTGTATATCACATAGCCTGATCACAGCCTTTTGGTGCAACACAATGAAACCTAGACAGACACTGAAGAAAGCAGTCATTATTTTTCAAGTCAAGCAAAGTACTGATTCTGTTGAGAACTTTGTGCTCAGTAAGTTTTTTCATAGCATACACCTCATAAAGAAGTTGGAAGATTAGCTTTTATAGTCTTAGACCTTTGCACGTTGTCAGAACTCTCTTGCAAAATAATGGTTGCTCTGAACCTTAGTAATCAGTACAACTTTTCGGTGAAATGTGAGAATTAGAGACTGAAAAGCTTTTCATGAAGTGATTCTAAACATGTCTAGGTGGGACAATTGGAATCAGGGCACATAAACCCACTCTCAGCCTGCTTTTGATGTCAGAGAGAGCTCATTCAGAGCTGCACAGGATCGTAGATGCCCTTTGTTGAAGAGCTGAAAAATGGTTTATTTCAAAAGCAATAATTCGGTTTTCTTGAACAGCAATGGCTTCCACCATACCTTCTTGTCCAAAGTAAACTTTGTGAGAAGTTTATGGACTTTCTGCTCAGTAAACCTTTGCAGGCCTTCAGAATTTTTTTTGTTACCATGCATGTCATCTGACCTCTACATAAAATGCTGGTTTATCCCTCCATGATGAGCATCTGACCACTGCCTTCCCTGCTTTCCTTCCAGTCCAGCTCCTAAGGCTGTTTTGCATCAACCTCCTCCAACAGCTCTGGTTCTGTGGCATCCTGGCAGTGGAGGCCATGGGCTCCTCTCATACTCTGTGTGGGAGATCTTTGTGTAAAGAAGGTCCGCTGGTTTATGGAAAGAGAGGCAATGCTTGGGTCCCAAGGGAAAAAAATCTGAAAAAAATACAGGCTGGGCTGGTGCTTTTTATTTCCTTTCTTGTCTGATTCCTTCTGATACACACAGTTCTGTGGTAACTTCCTACTGTTGTCTTTGCTTGTGGACATGGAAGCACCAGTTTGTTTTTCTTTAAGTATTAGGAGTTGAGTGGTATTTTTAGGGAGGTGTAGGGCGTTGGTGGAAGAGCTGTATTTCCAGAAGCAACCAGAGGGAGGGGGGTAATATGCTCAGTGGGTACTGTGGTTTTCCGAATTCAAAGATGCTTTCTGATGTCAGCCTCAAAATCTGTGCCAAGTTTCATACATCAGCAAACAAGGCTTCCAGTGAACAAGCAAGCTGTTGTGAGTAGCAACCATTCAGCAAAAAGCAGTGGCAAGCACAAAATTAATCATATGTCAGGGCTTTTTTGCTTGTGGATTGCCGTTCTCAAATGTGAAAAATTATTCCCCCCTGCTATTTAACTTACTACTGCACCATGAGACCGTCTTACAGGATCTGAGATATTTACCATAGGTCAGCAGTATTACAACATTCAGACAACAATGAAATCATACTTCATCTGGTGCAGGAGAGATTCCTGAACGTGTGTGCATGTTTATTATTAAAAACCCTCCTTTATTATAGGGTAAATACCCCTTTGCTTTTAAACATGCCTCTGAGGGAGAAAATAGGATTGCTGTAACAGAATGATCCAAGAGAAGAAAAATCGATCATTCTGCATTTTTCCAAGCATTATGTGCAGTGGCTCTCTTGGGGAGCTAAACCTTTTCCAAGAATGATGACTAAGCTGGTCACTTAAGGAAACAGTGTTTTAATAACAGCTGGTATGGGATTTATAGGTGCTTATGCTGGTTTTCAGATAGTAAAGAACAAAATATCTTCCTAGGGTTTCTTGTCCAGCTTTGGCCAGTGCAGGACAAAGGATGAAAAATTCAGGTGAAATCCTCACATACAGATCTGTGGGACACAAGGTGAGAAAAATCAGTGTTGGAGAGCAGAGCAAGGAAGTGCAATAGTCCTGACAGCCAATGTAGCAGTAGGTCGTAGCATTTTGACCACAAGTGGAGATTTTTGGAAAGGTAAAACAGCAGTAAATTCTAACACTAATCAGGTCAGAAAATAGCACAAATTGCCATCACTTAGAGGAATTTGTCGTGGTGCAGCCTGTTGGCTAACTTTAGAGGGAAGAGGGGTCAGCACAATTGTACAATTCTCAGCATCCTGAAGGTAATAAGGAAAGAGGGTATATTTATAAACAATCAGTTATTTATTGGCATTTTATATCTTACATCTTCATCAAACTTCTCTTGGCTTCTTGCCAATCTACATCTCCCAAAAGTATAGTAATGCAGCTACGGACAGTCCATGCTGTTTTATGGAAAGTAGGTCTTCACCTCAAGGTGGTTTTGATGTTGCTTACTGATATGTCAGAGTTTGATGGCTAAAGCCAATAGTGTGACTGTGTAACAGTCACACTAATAGGTTCCTCCAAGCTATTTGATTTAAAGAAAATGAACTCTATCAGAGCTGAAACCAGGACAGTATCACACAGTGACTTTGCAGATGTTGCAGAGATTTGGAGACTGGTTAAAAATACAAGGCCTTTGCTCTAAGAGTGTCCTGGATTCTGAGATAAGCTCTCTGCAGGCAGATTATGTATGCTTTCATATAAACAAATCTTGAGCTAACTCCCTAAGGAATTCCTGAGGAATAAAGGCAAGCCATGTTTACAGGAGGAGGAATTCAGCACTGACAGTGACTGAGACAGACGTTGGGCTGCAGGAGAAATGGCAGGGTACTGTGAGATCAGTCATGCCTGAGTATCAATGCAACATCATAACCAAGAAGGCTAATGTAATTATTGAGCACAGAGGCTGGCAGGTCATCAGGGCTAGACACTGATCTTAAAGGTAAGACTGGAAGATGTGCCACTGCTGAGGTCAGTGATAATTCCCAGAGACCAAAAGAGGGTGATGGGGAAAACCAGAAGACTCACGGAGGAGCCTTGAAAACAGTGAAAGGATCCGAAAGCTTATGACAAGAGCAGACTTAGCCTGATTTCATGGATGAAGTCTATTTCAGGAACAAGAAGCTGAAAATCAAGGGAGTCCTTTCTTTAGCAGAGAAAGGTCACAACCAGCAGCCAGAAGTTCCTTGTCCAATAAATGCAGACTCCAAGTCAGCCACAGAATTGTGGTGTGTATCACCAGTAGTTGTTGGTGTGTATTACTTGGGATGCTGCTGGATTTGTCTCTTTAGTTTCTGCCATCGTAGTGAGTTGTCAGAATGGTCCCATGCCTTTCTGGGTGGACTCCTTTCACTAGAAAAGCATCTATCCTGGATTCCAAGTAATGTATTCAAGGTAGTTTTCCTAGAAAGTCTACCGAAGGGATGGGACTGCACTACTTGTTTACAGCTTATTTGCTATGGCACAGGCTTCAGCACTTCTGTAAAGACACCATAGCATGACTCCTGTGAGATAAAAAAGAGGAGGGAGGAATCATTCATTATGGAAGTTTATGATTACGAATTCCTCAGTGGTAACATCTATTGCTTTGCTTATTGTGGTGGGATTTTTAAATTTTAGTCTTTGATTTCTTTTATTTTCTTTTATATTTTAGAATAGTCCTTATCAGCAGCAGAAGATCCTTCTGTAGCATATTTTCAGTGCTGCCATATCGAGACTGTACCCAAGTCGGGTATGTATATTTATACATGTACTGCATAGTCTTTCTGGGCCTGCATGTGGACCTGATAACAGACAACAGCATGATGGAGGATAATGCTTTTAGATATCCGTTCTGAGAAGAGTTAAATGCACTTAGGTGTGTTTGCCTTGTGGAACGTTACCAGGTTAAAACTACTGCTTTCAGTCCCCAGTTTATTTATATGTGTTGTGGTATCTGGGATTATTAAGCTGGAGAAAACTACCCTCCTGAAATTGATGTTCTTGAAAAATGCACTGTTTTTATTGTTTCTTCTGACTTCACTCATCTTTGACAAAACAAATACTCTAGACAGCACAACTTCAATAAGTCATCTTAGCTTTCTCATTCTCCCCTGCAAACATGGTGCTACTGTATCTGTATTTCCAGAACTATGAAGAAACATTTTGATTTAAAGAGAATACCTTTTTGTTGTACTTTTAGCCATTGGTCAGATCATTCAGTCAGTGAAAACAGATTATTTTAGACATAATACTGTACAGATTCATAGCTGGTATAAACAATGTCCGTGCAGCTGCCTTGCATCCCTTGACATGCTGAGACACTGTACCTCTGATAGAAAAGTTTCTTCAGAATGAAGTAGTTCTCCAAAGACTGAGAAAGCTTTTCACTCTTCCACTGAAACTACAGAAGTGGAAGAAACTGGATTTGGCTGGAGGATGTTGCCTGGCAGGCTCTGACAACCAGCTGGATGCCTTCAGAGGTGCAGTGCAAGGCTGGGAAAGGCAGTGCTGGTGGGCAGCAGCTCAGTGCCCCCGGGACAGGGGAATGAAGTGTGTCTACCATGGCCACGTTCCAGAGAGCTGAGAAGTCCTTGTAGTTGGGGTTGACTCAGTGACTGCAGGGCACAGAATTTGTGGAAAATAATCAGCTGATATACTGAGGTGGGTTTGAAAGACCCAAAAATCATCTAGAGTCAAATTTATCCAATGTATAAAAACTGAATTTGGCTCATACTTTTCAGCCATCTATTTAGTTCTGGAGAAAGATTTGTCACAAGATGCTTATGCATCAGTAATTCAAAGCAAAGGGAGATTATTTTTAATGCACAAAGGAAGGAAGTACCTTTGTAAGGGGGTTGACTTGGCCTGCTGTCTCTTGCAGTAAATTTTTTCCCTTAATTAAATTGTGATGACACATCAGGCAAATTCTTGACAGACTGGCAGATTTGCTCATTGTTCTTGAGTATACTGTCATTCATTTATGGTCATTGCCCCGTGGAAATTGCCTCTTTATTGAAAACTGAATATATTTTGAAATGCTGATGACTGGTTATACCTTCTAAATAATAGCAGTAATGAGGCCAGCTGTAAAACTAAATATTATTTCAACACGTCATGTCTTGTACCATTCTCGCGCAGCAAGAAGGGCATGGGCCGAGAAGGTAGCAAGTGCCAGTACACAACAATCCAGCCTTGTTTCCTTTGCTAAAAAGCCAAGATTTAAAAAAAAAGCCCTCTGTCTTTCTTCCAGAGCATCAGAGGAAGAGAGAAACAATTCAGTGGCACCTCATTCCAGGAACAGCTGGAGCAAAGAACAGATGAGGCAGTATAGCATAAACTGTAGCCACTCTGTTCAGGCTGCACAGTGCTTGCTTACTTCATTGCACATTTTGGATGTGGAAGAGGAGGAGGGAGAGACATCGGATGCTCTTTTGAAGTACTGTAGTGACAGCATCCTTTAGCTTTGCTTTCTCTGAATCTTTGGATTGCTGATGTCTGTCCCCAGGCAAGATGTCCCAACTGGTTTATATTCTGCAAACATTACTGAATAGTTAACAAAAAGAAACATATCATTACAGAGAACCATGGGCACATCTGAAATTTGACTGGAGAAATCATGGCAGGAGTGGGACAGTAGGATGGATGAGCAGGCAGGAAGAACTGTTCCATGTGAGAGGAGCACACAGTGGAGCTGCTGCTGCTTCTCCACCTCTGCTCTGACTCACAGGCGCTACGGCCAGTGAGGAAATCAGCAGGCACAGCTGTGTTTTGTGGAGGCTGCCAGCTCCTGTTGCACTGTAGTCAGTGCAGAAGAGCTGTACTCTATCAATGCTGGCAGATAACTGCAGGAGCAGATCCATTATAAAAACCTGTGTGAAAAACAATTCCTGAAGTCACAGCTAAACTCTATGTACTTGCTCAGGGTGGATGGGGCAGCATCACCCCTCACCAATGAGGTGCAAGCAGTGTACTCTAGACTGTGTCCCTCACTTGCCCACCCTCCATGCAGAGGTCAAACTACAACAGCAAGAACCCTTCTCAAATCTCCAAACCATGTTTTTAAGTGGTTTTACTAATACAAATGGAGGTCTGGGGATTGCAGGGAGGAGAGCCATAGAAGTATACACAAGAGGATGAAGTTTGAGGTGTCCCTTGGAATACATTTCCCAAATCTGCTTCCCCAGCAGCTGGGCAACTGCCAGCTCACTGGAGTGAAGCTGACAGGAGCCTTTTGAAGGGAGGCGTACTCGGAGCAGCGTAGAGGCTGCTGCTGCTGAATGACAGGTTTTTCTCCCTGAAGTTTCAGAAGGCTAGTCTGATGGTACTTGCTGAGGCTGAGAAGGAAGGACACCATGTGCCGGGGGAATTACTTTCTTTAGTCTTCTCTGTTATAATGAAGCGAAGTAAAATGTATAAAGCAGAGACTGCTATGGGGAGACAAAAAAGTCATGTACAGATCTAATAACTAGAATTTTCTGTCCTCAAAATTTTGTCGCTATCTTGAGTCTGATGGAAACCTAATGTTTTAGCTTCAAGTGCTTTTATACAAGGGAAAGGGGGAGAACCAAAACTAAATTGATAGAGGTTTTGAGATGGATTATCTCCTGCTGGAGTCACTGAGAAGCAAGTACTTTTGTGGATCTGGGACATAAATTCTCTCCAGATCTGATGACATTAAGATTGTCAGCATCTTTGCTAGTGACATGAATGCAGGCACAGTTTTACCTGTTTTCATGGCCAAGAGTAGGGGAATGGAGTGGACCAGAGCTTGCTTTTCTAGACCAGCAGAGTAGCTGTGAGAGCAGACATAGCCAGGTGAAAGCAATGTGAGGAAAGCTACACTGCAAGTCAGGAGCTGAAGGAGGTGCTGAGCATCTTGCCTGCTGGCATCCCTTGGTCCCCAGCATCTCTTGGTGTTACAGCCCAAAGTCATCAAACCCTACACGGGGTTTATTGGTGGCTAAGAGGAGTGATGTAATGATGCGGGTTGTCCTGCACCTGTGAGAGCACTTGTAACAGTGTTATTACCTCTGTTCTTAAATTAAGAAACACGCACAGAGAAATTATCATTATAGGCTGATCTGCAGAGGCAGGTAGCACGTACAGGATCCAGCAACACAGAAAATGTCTGAATGTTTGGCTTTGATGATGTCTTTATGACATACAAAGCCACTGTGTGATGCACAGGTTAGAGGCAAGGCAGTTCAAGTGCTAATGCTCGTACTGCAGGTTTGGTTTGTGCTGTTGCTATTCCTTTTTTCAATGTATTGGAAACCTTCATGGCTAAAGGGTATTCACGATACAAATTTTTATGCTGAACAAAAATCTTGGTAACCTGTGCAGCAAGCATGCTGTTACCACACAGAGATTTTTCCAGTAAGGTTTACAAACAAAACACGTGCATGAGGAGATGCAGCAGTGACTACTGAACATGTTTTTACCATTGTGGAGAGATACTTGTGCTTTAAAAAAATTGTTTCTCCTCTCCTTTTTCACCGTTCACCGATGTTATACAATGGATCATGTTGACACCCCAATATTCTTTAGTAATACTTGCAAATTTGAAGAATCGTATGTAATGTTATGCTAATACTATTCTTCAAGTTCTTCTTTCTTCTTTAAATATAATATTGCAGAAGATGAAAGAGCTACTTTATGAAGGGTATTGAAACCAGATTTCTGGCTCAGCATCCACTTCATATCTTCCTTGCTGCAGATGAGAATTAACCCCCATCTAGTTCTGCAGATGGGCAGAAAATTGGAGGTAGTGACCTCCCATTTTTATCAGAGGTACACCTTGTGCATCCCCTGAACTGCTGTGGCACACACCTCCTTTGTCAGAGGTTGGTTGTCACAGTGGAAGCTCACAGCAAGTGGAGTTGAGCCTTGATACTGTTCCTCTTCCAGGACAGGGGAAGATGCCTCAGGTCAACAGCAAGTAGCTGCCCCATCACACACACACTCAGCACAGGCATATGCACCCGCATGCTGACCTGCTCGGGGCCCTCAGAGGGGATTTGTGTCACGGCAAACCAAAGAGTGAAGCCGTTTGCCGATGGATTAAACAAGAGTTGAAGGAATTATTCATTTGGAAATGGGCTCCAGATGGTTTGAGGTGAATTGGATTTCAGCCCTTTGAGACGGGAGCTGGGGATCAGACACAGCAGATATTAGCCTTTTAGCCATTAGGCAGGTCATGCTCCGGGCACTCAAGTCCCTAAAGAGGAACTGTTATGGCCAGACTCTCCAGGAAGGTGTCTGCAGGTTTCTGCCCACCCCACTTCCCAGCATGGTCTGTGCAAGGGCACTCACACAAGGAGACGCACACTCACCGTGTGACCCCAGCCAGAATGGAGAAGGACCAGGTTCAGCTTTGCCTCCAGACATATCCTGGGCAGGGAAGAAGGGAACTCATTCTCCATTACTTGCCTCATCTTGAAGCTTCTCTAGGCACCACTTCTCCATCAACTTCCAAGGAGATGGTACAAGTCTGGCAATTCTCACAGATGTTGTCAGAATTGCTCTCTGTGGCCTGCAGGACATGGTGGCCTGCAAAAATGATCCGCATATGCTTGCAGCCAAGTGAGAACAGTCCAATTCTCATTAGTATTTTAAGGTGCCTAAACAATTTCAAAAAAAAAAAGGTGATAGAAATGTCACTGTCACTGTCAGAGGTGTTTTATCGAGGAGGAAGAAGGTACCGAGTTGTCTTTCCCCCCCAAGAATGTCAATGGCAAAAGCATTCACAGA